TCGGCGAACTGGCAGGGGGGGAGAAGCGACGTAGGGGGGGACAGGAACAGAACTGGCCGAAGTGTGTGCTCGACGACCTGAAGGCATTCGGGGCCAACCACGGATCTACGAAAACCGATCCATGTTGTCTCGGAATCCAGGTACCGAAAGACACGGCACCAAAGAAAAAGTGGACGGAAGCCGCGAAGATGGAGGGGGGAGTACCCTGGCATGCGGCGGTGCTGCAGGGAGCTGAGAGGTTCATGACCTCCTGGCACGAGAAGGAAGAAGAGGCCAGCGGACAACGGGCGCTCAAACGGAACCACAAGCAAACAATCAATGGGGCGGGAAGGGGGCAGGAGACGGACGAGACGGCGAGGGAAGAAGGCAAACGAGAAGAGACAGACGGAGTGGTGCGATACGTGCCGGATTGAAATTCTTTTTGCCAATTCCCCCCCCCAACGCTGTACCATTGCACCAACCCCCCACTAGTGATGAGGTACCATTGCAATGTATCGCTGGTTGGTCGCCATGTTTGCGTGTTTGTTCGTTAGTGGTCTCTCCACCGTGTGCCTTTTTCTGTCTCTTGTTTCTTGTTATTTTCGGCCTAGTCCCTTTTCGTCCTCGCTCTTTTTCATTTTATTTTCTCTTTCCTTACTGTTTCCTTATTTTCTCCTCTTTTTCGCCTTTTCTCTCGTTTTCTGTGCCAGATGGCCTTGCCTCTGCTTGCGTTGTGAAGTACCAAGATTGAACCAAGGGGGCGTACCTCATTCTCTCCGGTCCGTGATGGTGACTCCTAGTCTCAGTTGTTACCTCGCATAGCGCGCAGCGGGAGTGGAGGATTCCAGAATATCTGTCGTTGATTTCTGTTGACTTGCGGACCCCTCGGGGCCATTGTATTTGAGTGTACCTTTTTAGGGTAAGTTAGCCTGTGACCACGGGAATCGACCGCGTCGAGTGTTGGATCAGTACAGACATACGAACGTTGGTAGAGAGAGATCGGAACGGATTTAAATGTGAGGACAACAACAACACTAATTATAGGCGCACCGGGCTATGTTTTTGAGAAGCTTACAATAATTTCAGGGAAAAGCGCGTCCCCTGTTGGACCGACTGAACATGCACAAACAGCCTACATCCCTCTAAAAGAACGACCCGGGCGCGCGCGGCACAGAGAGAGGACAGAGGAGGCAAGGAGGCACAGCAACCAACTATCTCTGACGTCGGTATTTTCATGACGTATCTCTATTTCTTATTGCAAAGTGGGGTCGACCGTTTACCGTGACGGCGCACACACTCAAAACAAACTATACGCCTCACCGTGCGAGCAGTCTTTTTATCATTATCCAGATTGAACACACACCGAGAATGATGGCAATACCGAGCGCTAAAAGAACAGCAGCACTGCAGCAGCAGCACAAAACAAACTGCAATCTTTCGCAGCATTGTCATCATCGTCAGCAAACAACAACAGATCATCAGCGGTTTGCCGATTTCTTCCCTCTCGACCAGGCGATGACGACACGGGCGTAGGGCTGGAAGATACCCCCGCCGCGGACACGGGTGTAGCCGCCGCGGGCGAGGACGACATGGGGGCTGGGCTGCCTCCTACCCCGGCCGAATATGCGAGTGTTGCCGCAGCAGGCGGAGTAGAAGCGGACGTACGAATTGCAGCTCCTGCGCCGGGTGGTGTCGCCGCCGAGATGGGTTTGGCCAACAAGTAGCTGTCGGGCTGCTCGTACGCGGCCATTATTGCGGCTCGCAGTTCCATGTTTTTGGTTCGGATGGTGCATACTCCAACATCCCCTTGAGGTCTGCAATTTTAGCCTTTTTGGCCTCTCGAGCGCCCGCCAAGCGAGCCCTGCCTGCGGCCTCTTCATCCAAAGACTGCCTCGACACAACAGCCGCCGACAGAGCTTCCACGGCCGTCACCAGCTTGCCTGTGTTGGTCTCCTGGACGCGGCGGGCCTGCAGTTGCGCGTTGGCGGCCGCTACCGCAGCAGTCTCCTTCTTCACCTGTGCTCCGCTTTGAATTTCGCCGGCCCCTGTGAACATCCGGATCGCGTTGGACGACAGATCAACCTCGGTGTACGCACCGCTTGCCTCCGATCCGCTTTCGTCGCTGGTGCCGGGTGACCCTTTCTTCGCCTTCTGCTTCCCGCCGCGACCCTTGGCCCCGGACGCGCCGCGACCCTTGGGTCCGGATGTTTTGCGTGCGGTTCGGAGGTCAGGGTCCTCGCTGCTGCATGGCCTTCCGATCAAACAGAAGGTCAGGAGATACTGGTGCATCCGCTTGTTGGGCCTCTGCGGAAACCCGCCCTCTGTTCGTGTGATTTCTTCGGAGGGGGCATCATCCCCGTTGCCCGGCGTATCGTCTTCTGGCTCCTTCATCCCCCCCTCCCCCGCCGGTGAGTCATTACCGCTGCTTTCCTGTGGCTCCACTGCTTCCTCTGTTCCTTTCTGCTTTCCACTCCCGCCGTCCTCGTTCTCCGTCGGTGACGATTCCCCAGAGTCACCTTCCGAACCCTCTCCTTCACCGCCACCCCTCTCTTCCAACTCGATCGGGTCCTCTGCGTTCCCCGTTCCGGATTCCATGTGGTAGACTCCGTCCAGAAGGTACTCGATGGCGTCTTCGTCTTGGCTGCCCGACGGTAGTTGGTCCCCAGGTTGTCCTTCGACGAAACTGGGCCAGGGGTGCACGGGAACAAGGTAGAGAGAGGTAGGAAGAACGGGTGAGATTGGCAGCGATCGTAACGCATTCTCGCTCGTGTGCACCCGCAAAGGTGACACATATTTCGAATGTTGACGGGCAGCAGTTCACACCCATGTCGCCACTGGTCTTACTATTTTCGATCTATTTTCTTCTATCCGACATATGGCCGTGGCGCGGAAACTATGTCAAGAATACACACAACTGTATATTTCGCTGAGGTTTAGAACACTGTTCCGGGAGTCATGCCAATCGGCCAAAGTGACACAGCACCGGTGTGCCACATGCACATGAGTTCCGTCATCGTTTTAGAGTAGGCCGGCCAGGGAGAGGGTCACCGTACCGAGGGCAAAACGACACACATAGCGAAACGCAATAGGGGTTGTGACTACAGTTTTGACTTGGTGCGGAGAGTGCAACAAGTCAAAACTGTAGTCACAACCCCTATTGCGTTTCGCTATGTGACTACAGTTTTGACTTGGTGCGGAGAGTGCAACAAGTCAAAACTGTAGTCACAACCCCTATTGCGTTTCGCTATGTGACTACAGTTTTGACTTGGTGCGGAGAGTGCAACAAGTCAAAACTGTAGTCACAACCCCTATTGCGTTTCGCTATGTGACTACAGTTTTGACTTGGTGCGGAGAGTGCAACAATAAATCTGACATGAGTGTATCGTTGTTTATTGTGTGTCTCACCCCGACAACTTGCATGCGTAGTTTACATGATCGGGGGGAAACACGTTGGGGGATGGGCGGTCTACTTTATTTTCTTCGCAACATGTTGTACGCCCTGGGGCCACCTATCTCTAAAGCTGTTCCCACCCGTGGTGTTATGTTGCTTTTTTGAAGGGGGAGGGGGGAAACGCCAGCGAGTTGCCGCCAAAAGCAGCGGGTAACGCGATTGAGCATTTGTTCAACACTGCTGTTGTCCGCATAATACATATATGGTAATCGGGGCACGTGACATTTCGAAATTTAAATGTAGTGCGGCAATTCCATTGGTGTGCGGACAAAAGACAAGAACATCAAACCGCTAGGCACCGCGTTCGATGCTCACAACAACACACCAGACACGGGCGCATGTGGGCGTTTCTTACAGAAACATACGCAACATCACTGATTATTACTCTCGAAAAACCGACTACTATTCTTGAGAATAATACCTCTCTTCAATATCCTCCGTGTTCCTTCGTGTTCGGCCTCGCTTCTTCATTTAGTATTGCCTACGGTAGTTGTTCGTCGGTGCTTCTGTGGCGGAAGGTACATGCACTACTCACCAGTGTACACACAGTAGTAGGTACGCCGCCGACGCCAACCATGTTTTTCTCGGGAGGGCGTGGTTGCAGTCGACTGCTCGTTCACAGCAGTGCACGCCACAAGAGAACAGGAAAATACCCTACACGGAACGCAACAAAAAAA